ATTAATTGTAAATCGGCAAATAAAAAAAGTAAGAACTGCTATGAAGTTTCACGTAAGTAGAAAGGAAGGTACCGGTATTTATGCACATCTAGGGCTGTAATTAAACACTCTCACTTTTTTAAAATCAAAGTAAACATTTACCATTTGTCCTGCTGCCTTCTGACACAGCTCAGAAATCATCAAGTGGTTCCCTCAATTTTTTTTTTTTTTTTTTACATATCAGGCCACGTAGGCATTATGAAGTTTTTAAAAGTGTTGGTTGCAGTAAATAAAACGATTAACTTAATAATTTAATTTACAAAGAGAACACTACTCAGTTATTATAAATCTGCTCCCATTTATTTACTTAGTTTTGCCACATTGTTCATTTTAAAAGAACAAATGCTGTTTTTGGCCGTTGAGGGCCAGGTAAAAGCTGTGACAGGCCAGATAAGGTCAGCAGACATGAAGTAAATGATCTATATAATGTCCAGGAGGTGAAATAAACTGAATTTTAGAATTCCAAATAACTTTTATATTTATTGAAAATGAAGAAGTACCATTCACTAACCAGCGTAACTGTTGCTTTAATAAATATTAATGACCTGAAATGTATTCAGACTACAAAAAAGAAAAAAAAAAAAATCCACTCTTGCATGTTTTACTGTAAAGATCATAATTTAGCAAAGCTGTTTGGATGTTTTCACTTTAATGAAGCAATCTTAAGTTTTCTTTTAAACCCAAAAATAAATAAATAAATAAAGTCATGTCTAAGTTTTGAGGAAAATACGGTCTTTAGTTTCTAACAGCAGCTAAAATTCCCTTTCTCCCTTTTGTTTTTTATTTTTTGTTTTTTACATCTATATTTTTTGAAGATTACAAATAGAGATTTATTTCTGCCTTTTCCAGGGTCGACTGTTTTACAAATCGGTAATATAAGCCTCCATTGTTTTTTAATTCAAATTTTGTTTCATAATATAGAAGTCATACAGTTCAGTGGCTCCGAGGAAGTAAAGTAATTTATCGACGGTCCCTAAATAAACGTCATCGGGTTTAGCCAGAGGAGGGGAGTCTTTGTGCCTCACTGCTCTCCGCCACCGTTTGGGAAGAACGCGGCGGCAAAGCGCACAGGTTTCAGTCGCAAATTGTGCGTCTTTGGCTCCGTTAGCTTCGGGTTTTCTCCTTCGAAACGATAAGCAAACACGCCAGAGGGCGAATGGCTGCGATATTAGTGTATTATCGCCACAAAAAGCCTGACATTTATCCGATTTCTTCCACCATTTTCGCTGGCGCTGCCTGTCGCTCGCTGCAGCTCTCTCTCTATTCCCCTCCCCCTCTGAGCTAAACACCGAGCTATCCGTTTTCGGCAAGATGACCGCTTTCGCTGGTCTGATGGCTGACGTTGACTTTATCCGATTTAGTTTATAAGGAAAGCAAGTTTCTGAGTTAACTCTGAGACAGAACCAGTTAGTAGTGGCTTATGACTATCGGGTTATAACTAAAAAAAACACTTTAGTCAAACATCCGATGAGCTTTACTGAAATAACATTCACTGCTGGGTTGAAGACCTGAAAACTGGAACCTGCAGCTGAGCCGCGAATAAATATCTTAATTTAAATATTTTTTGCCATTAGTACCTCACGTTTCCTGTAATAATCAAACATGCTACAAAACTCTTTAGCTTATGTTAAAAACGGTGAAAATTACAAGACCGCTAGCAAGCTAACAGGCTAGCTCTAATGCTTCTAAGCGCCGTATAAACGTTCAAAATTAGCGCAAAGTTGGAGGAAAAAGTTTCCCAGAATAAACCGAGTCTCTGTCAGCATCAACAGTCTCTTGGCAAAACTAATTTGGAAACCAAGACACAGATAACAAGAACCAATTTCCAGTAGAATACATCAGGTCAGTCTGCTTAACATTAGCCTGACAGCTAGTTCACGTTGCTAGCCTCATTGACGACTAGCTTCGGTTAAGTTCTCGGCGCAGCAGGCTAACGTAGCCGCTATTAAATCCTCCAGCTTCAAAGTAGAATAAAACATAGCAATCCGTTTTCAACATAACCCAAAAGCGACAAACGCTTCCTTTAAATCCACGTCTTTTCGGCAAGGTTATGATGCTGCAGCTACCTTAGCACAACAACCAAACCCATTACCCCAGCTACATTAACTTACCCCAAACGGCTGCCACCCACTACAACTTTGCGCTCCGATGTAAAGGATCCTCACCGCCAACCCGCTACGCCAACATTCACCAAGCGGTGATTTAAAACAAAAAAAGGCAAAGTTTTAAGAAGCGTAGGAAAATGTAAATGTAACTGAATTCAACGGCTACGTCGCTAACAACAGTGTATGTATGAAGCGCTGTTCCTTGAACATGGGGGCGTGGCCCGCTGTGAAGGCGTCACAGTCTCCGCCCACACCGAGCTGGGATTGGTCAGAACTCCAGAATGAAAACAAATACAGTAATGCCAGTGAGTAACAAAATGAAGGCCCTTCCACAAAAAAAAAATAAAACTAAGATTACGAATTAAGCCGAGATTTGCTGATATCCTGTTTTAATTAAGCCTAGACTCGGTTTTCACATAAGTAGCACATACATGGTGATTTATTCTGCTAGTCTATTACAGCCCAGGCTAACAGCTAGATTTAGTTAATCTGGTGCTTTATCTGTTGAGAAAGAGCAGAGGATTGAGGGGTTTGGAGAAATGTTTGATAGAGAAGCTAAAACACAGACGTAACTTTCTGTAGGACTGGTGTGGACATGTCCCAACCAATAATTTCAATACATAGACTTTGACTCTCAACAATATGTGGGAAAATTTTCTAAATTAGATTTTGCCACTTTTCAAGGCGGATAATTACTGATGTAGCTGAAAGGGAAAACATCCAACAATCAAGCCTAATTTTTCTGGTTGGATGATTGAATGAAACTGAAATTGTGTACATGCTAGGAAGGCATAATATATTGCTAATGGCATCAGAATCGGCTGTTGTTAATCCTTTTTTCTTCATACAGTAATGTCTAGCTATAGACAAAATATAAACATCAGTGTATTTTTGTTTTTTTTGTGTCCTCAAAAATAAGAAGGCGTTCAATAAATATATGTTTGGGCTCATTTTTGGAAAATACAAACCCTATTGAAAGTGTTTGTTTCAAGTAACTGTAAGTCCATAACCTTAGAGTGTCCCCACCAACTTTCATCACAAAGTTACACCCTTGAGCTAAAATGTTGAGAATAAATCATCTGCACACACATGTCTCCCTTCACAATCGTGTGGGGATTTTTTGAATGCCACTGACAATGAGGCACTTAAACTGACGGTAACATACTGTCAACTACATACATTTTTTTGTGTGCATTAAATCACCTTAAGATATCTTATTGCTTAACATCAAGGCACAGTGGTCTGTCTCAGTCCATGACTGTGAATCCGTTTCCCCTATAAACCTGTATAAAAGAGTTCTCCCTTTGTTTACATCGAGTTCCAGCTCTTCTGCTTGTGTGAATTCTGGGGATGGTGAGCCATCCCCCTGTGCCCTTACACACATGCTTTTATAACACCTTAAAAAAAAAAGACAATAAAATATGGGTGCAGATACCCCCTACGTTTTTATTTGTACATTATAGTCAACATTTAATCCAGATCCTACGAGTCAGAAAACTTTTCTTGTAGGTAATCATGACCTGTTGCCAGGTCATCTTGTCTCCAGTCATGATCTTAATTTAGATAAGGTGTGTACTTTTGTAAAGAACAATATCATCATCAATATCTTTCTTTTGCATGCAGGGTGAAAACATGAATAAAAAAATCTATAAAGCTAGACCTACAGTACTATAAAAAAGATTTATTTGAATCAAACCAATTGTAATAATTAGAATGAATACAAAATAGTGTTTTTGAATGATCATTTGTTCCTATGGGGGAATATAACAAACCAACCTATTCCTTGATGGGGAAACTTAACAGCAATCTAATAAAATCATAATTTAGCTGTTGACTTGATCTCCCCTAAAATCCTTTCGTTCCATGAAATCAACTTTTCCAAAAAGGTGAAATGTTAGTGTTTTTGGAGCCAGAGTTCAGTTAGTCTCGTTATTCATCAGTAAGAAAGAAACTGGGCATAAAGAGGCTAAACCCTTATTATCTAAAAAGAAAACAAGATTCTATCTTAACTTTACCAAAAAATAGTTAAAAAAAAACAACAAAATTTGTGAAGTATGGCTTTTTTGGGACAAATGTGTTGATTAGGTCTGGTTGATTAAATAGACAGTATTTAAGGAAGGAAACATAAAAATCATTGTGGTAGTGAGTGGAGGGCTCTGCTCTCTTCCAATAGATCTTCAAGTAGAGCTTCTGGCCATCAGTTTAAACTTCAGCAACCTGGGTTTGGTTTTATGATGTGATTTTAAAAAGAACTGTTAAAAATACCTAATTTAATCAATTGCATTGGATCTTAAACAATATGTTTAATAATAAATAATCTGCTTTTATATTGACCAAGGTTTTCTTTGTTTACTATTAGTAAGGGGTGGGAACTCCTACTGTAAGAAGTATATACTTCTTACCACTTCCTTTTTTCACGGGTAATGTTGTGAGTTGTGTATGAAAAAAATGTGTTATTTGTTTATTTATTCTTCTTGTGGAAAAAGGTGTTATTTATTTATTCTTCTTGTGGGCCTTTTAAATTGGTTTTGCTATACATTTTTCCTTTTATTGTTATCAGTTCGAAATGGAAATTTGTAATTATTCATATTAAAACCTGTTTAAGGATCTAAGATAGATATGTACTGAAAGAAAAGAGCAAAAACAAAACAAATATGTAAAAATCCACATTCCAGGTAGTTGTGTTAAACAAGAGAAGAGTCCAGTAACTCATTAAAAGGAGATTAAAAACATGACTCCCTCTTTTTATTTATTTAAATATGGATGTAATTTTGTGTTCATTGCAGCATTTGACATTTTATCCATGTTGGAATATTCTAACAAAAAAACATTACTACATCTTATAGTTTGCATAAGATTTTAATATCAACAATATGTAAATGATTTATAACATTTATTAAGAAATATACATATCTCTTTCAATGAAAGTGAGAATACATAAATTTTCTGTATGATGTGCAAGACAAAATATCAAAATTGAAAAACCAGTTCATTTCCCTCATCAAAAATGGCCAAATATGTAAAAGAGGTTGAAAATGAGTTATAGCAGAATCAAATAACAGTGAATAAAAACAAAATGTCTTTTTCTGCTCTGTTACAAAAACTATTTGCTCATTTTGGATGCTTTAAGTAATTAACTGGCCTTCTTGGTTATGTGTTGATTAACTACTCTCGCTCTGTCTGTTAATTCAATAAATGTAACAGTTAATATATTTTGTACAGAAAGTAAAGAAAAAAAAAACATTTTAAGAATCAGATATTTTTATTTTTAAGATATAGTTAGAAAAAAGTTCCTAAACTTTGCTGTGCCTCAGCTGTCAGGCTGTGCCTCAGCTGTCAGGCTGACATGCAGCAGTTTTCCTGCCACCTTGTCGCCGCCATTTCTGCTGTGAGCCTAAAGGTTCTTTAGAGAAAGATGGTGTGCTCCATTTCCTGACAGGTCATTGTCCAGCAGCTTTTTCAGGGAAGGATCTTCATTTGCAGGAAAATGCTGGTAGTCATCAGAATCAAACCAGTTATCCTGGATGTGGCAACTTCTGGAGCTGCTTATGAAAAAAGGACAGGAGTTACAAAAACTGTTCAAATAGGTAAACCTAGGCAAACACCTGCAGATTAAGATTATGAAATTATTTTGAATTAACCAAGAATTGTGTTAATTATTAAAAAGATAGACAGATTTCTCTTGTATATATATATATATATATATATATATATATATATATATATATATATATATATATATNTTTTTTTTTTAAAGCAATTTTTTTCTCCTAAGCATGCATAAAATACAACCCCTTCAGCATTTATATTGTGTGAAGGTCTTGGAGAAAAACAGACTATATAACTTCAATGTTTATTGATCAGTTTCTTTGCAGGATATAAAAAATATTAAGGCAACAACAGCCTAACCAACACCAGGAAAATAGATCACATAGATTCTCATTTCTCCGCTGTGCTTCTCTGTTTGTCAAATGATGGATTTTAACTTTCTGTTATTGGTCTACAAAGTACTAAATGGTGATCAGTTGAAATTATTTCAAAGTTTCTCCTTCATAAATTAATTTTGAAGAGATCTTTTGACTTGGTGTTCTCTGGAGCATCACTGAACAAGGTGAAGCAGTTTAAATTTTTTATTCTCTCATGTCAGCAACAAAGTTCCTGTGAGCCTAAAATGTACAGAGACTGTTGGTTACTTTAAATAAATGAAAACATTTCCTAACCTCAGCATTTATTTAAAAAATATGACTTATGAACTGTTCAAAACATATTTTTTGGCTTATAGGTTTTTAATATTTAAATTATTTTTTTCTGCACATGGTTTTTATTTTCCTTGTATTTTTTATGTTTTGTCAACAATTTTGAATGCTGTTTATACATATTTATCTTGCTTTTACATTTATAAAAAAACATGCATTAAAAAAAAACCCTCAAAATTCACTGGAAAAAACTAAGGTCACATTAGGTTATTTAAATCCCTCTAGTTATTGATCTGTTTCTTGCATTCTTTCACCTGTATGTTTAACGTTATTTTGATGTTGAGCTCCAAGTCTTGGAGACTTAAAGTCCTTTCATCCTAATCTATAGCTTCTATTAGATATTTTGGCTGGGCCAATCAAAAATATGATTGGAAAATTAAAAGATTAGTAAAAACCTAACTTAATCAGGGGTGTATAAAGTTTTGGGCGTAATTGGATGTTTTAAACTGACACTTCAAAATTAGGAAAACTGCATTAGCTTACTTTTCTTGCAGTCATTTACCAGCCGGTCACTTACCTTGGGATGTAGTGGTGTTACCAGTGACTATGGCTGTAGTTATGCTGGAACCATTAGTCGGCCTGGGTGCTTCATTACTCGTTGGTTTGGATGTTGGATTAGTTGTTGGTTTGGATGATGGATTACTTGTTGGTTCTGGTGTTCCTGGTTTGGGTGTTGTATTACTTGAAGGAGCATCAGTTGTGTTGGTAGATGGTTTCTGAGTTGTTGTGTTCATAAAATCAGCAACCATGAGGCTCACAGGCCCAGAGCGGACCGAGTAGGTGCTGGTGAACACGCTGTTAACCAGAACATTGGGACTGCTGCTGGTGTTGCCACACAGATTGGGGCATTCCCCAGACGGGCTGGTAGCGATGCAGAGATTGAGTTTGCATTCAACGTAGAACTGTAAGAAGAAAAGAGCTGTTGTTTACAATTAGAAAAAACAGCATAAATGCTTTTTAGAGAATATGATTACTGCAAGCCTGAAAACAATAATTACAATCAGCCTTATTTACGTTTCTCATATTGAAACTTCAAACTTCAATGTATTTCCTGGAGCAGTGTGGGGTTAAGGGTCTAGCTCACAGACCCAGAATGGAGGCTGTGGGGATCAAACCAGGTACTTTCAACCTACTCAGAGCAAAAGCACACTGCTCTAACCCACTAGGCCAAGACTCCCAAAACTTGAAATCTTTCTTTGATCTTGTCTTTAACTCTCAGTTTTAAGACAGTAACTTCTCAGTAACTTTTCTCATGTGTGATATCTGTATAACTTGTTATACATTTCAGTTAGTAGTAGTATTCAAACTTGGAAACAGAGTCCAGAGGTTTTTTCTAAACTTTTTTTGGAATGACTATGACCTGGATAACATTACAGTTATTTGTTGTAACAAATGTTGCACATTTGTCCTTAATAAGAAGTCTCTTATTTTTTATAAATACAATGTTAAAATATTGAAATTTGTTGAAAAATTTTACTCTGCTTAAAACTTCTCTGCAACTTAATCTCTGATATGTCTGGAGTGTTTCTTGGTTTTAATATTTTAGTTTTTTTGTTTATCTCTAAAGGTAATTTGGGTATTAATTTGAAGGCAGTGTAATTTAACTTTTTTGTAAAAAAAAAAAAAAAAAAAAAAAAGGTATGCTGAAAATCATTTGTGATGTTGGTGTGTCACAGTCCAAGTAATTAAGGGGCATAAAGGTTTGAAAAATAATGAAATGAAGAAAATTTTTTTAAGTTTTACAGCAAGGTAAAGTTACATGGTGAAACCATAAAGACAGCAAAAAGTATTTACAGGAAAACATATTATGTATATTGTTGAATGTGATTACAGACCTTTGTTCCAGAGACTCCCATTGCAGCTATATCCAGACGGTAAATCCTTGAAGTTTTTTTTTCTGTAATAACCTCCAGTGTGCTGTTGGACATCATGCACCTGACAAAGCAATGGGGACCAAAGGATGTGTATTAAAGTTTCCCACTAATGAGAGATCATCCGGTATCTCACCTTCACAACTAACTACAACAACTATGAGGAGAATTCACAAAATTATTCAAATATTAATAATAAAAGCAACCAAAGACACCCTGAAAACAAAGCAATAAAATATGTACTGTATTACTCACCCTTTTTCCAAGATAGGTCGGCTCTCTGCAAAGTCCTCCGTCTCAGATTCCATACAGTCGGTCACGATCATCTCAGCTCGATCCACAGTACAGTTAGACATCACATAGAGATCCAACTGCTGAACCTTCTCCCCAAGATGAAGTTCAGTGCTGTTTCTGGTGAGGCCGTTTTCTGAACCTGCTTCCCGACGAGCTCTTGCCGCTGGTAAGAAATTAGAGCGAAACCTGGGACTGGATGTGAATCTTGCCAGGGGCCCCTGTCCTGGAAGATAAAAATCTAACCAGACCTCAATCACGCCAAACGTTTCGGTCTCTGTGGGCATGCCGATGGCATACTGCGGCCCCGTGACCTGAGCTCCCGGGATCCGGCATGCCAGAGGGAGGACCAGAGAGGGTCGGCGGCTGATCATGGTGTGATGCACACTTTTCAGGGTGTTGGTATAAACCAACTCTGAACCAGAGTGCTGGGGAAAAAAAGAAATAGCTGAAAATAGTTGGAATTTAGACAGAGAACAGTAGTTCAACGCCAAGCATTGTATATAATGTATTTCAATTGAAGTAGAATGACTTGGACATGATTTACGTTAACACAAAAATTAATGCTTAGACTATTAAAAGCTAAATATTTCATGGGACATTTTTCTGTCTGATTTTAAGTAGTATTACTCAGACATTGAAAACCTGAGAACGTTTTTCTACCTTTTGATTTATATTTGTAGCTTTACACAATAAACATTAATGACTGGGACCTTCTTAGACAGAACAATAACAGTAGATACTATAAAGAGTAATGAGCAATGGATGACTGTGGAAGAACAATGCTTCAGGGTGAAAAAAACAACTTTTTGACATTTTTATGAAAGGTTTTTGCCTTCTTTATGTAATCTGAAGTACCGGAAATTGAAATGTAGTCCTGCTTTGATGTTGGTTTGTGGAAAAGCTTTAGAAAATATACCAAAACTGTAAATAAGACAGCTTACCACTGCCTTTGTGCCACAGCCACTCAGCGGTATGTGTGCAGTCAAGTGTGTGTTGTTGTAAGTGACGGGGCAGGCGGCGCTGTTGAGCTGCAGCTCTGTCAGGTCGACGTCGCGGAGGGAGCCGACAGGAAGCAGTAGAGACATCTCTGTCTGGTTACACTTTAGCTCTACAGACAGACGTAAACAACATATGTTTAGTCATTTAAATATTGACACAGACACACTCAAAATATTCATCTTATACAGAAAATTAGAATTTAACTAACTATTAAAGTAACCTAACCTGTTCCTTCAGGCAGAGTCCTCATTTCCCCTGAAATCAGGAAATATATATTTTAGCAGTCTAAACAAATGTAACCATGATAGTGAGGCTTACTGTAACCCATAAGTCTCATTTTTATGACGTTTTTCTGAGTCTTACTTTGAAACAACCACAGGCATCGGAGCTCTGACTGAAAACTGGAAAAACAAGAAGAACAGATCGGACCATGTTACAGTTGGATAACATTAAATAAACTGATAGGACTTCCATAAAAGATACAAAAACCTTTAGCAAGAAGCTTTTAACCCCCCTCCACAGACCTTATAAAAGGGTATTTAGTGTGTAGCACATATGATCTTGGGGAAACTGCTATAAGACAATTGCTACACTGAATGTGTGATCAGATTTTAGATAACTGAAGAGTTCACATGGAAATAACAAACCTCTTAGTGTTTGCAACAAAACAGACAGGCAAAATCTGGGTCAAGTTGTTTTCGGAGCGGATCCAGGCCATGGTCATTGTTGCCAGGGGGCCGACTGATGCAAAGCCGACCCTGTACAGGTCAGGGGGACCGACCACAGCTATCTCCAACACCCTGTAAACAAGCAAATGAAAGGCTCTACTTTGTGACAGTTTAGACATTTACCTGGACACTAGTTCAGAGGTTTCTAATTGGTTAGACTGGATTTCACTGTGAATATCACATTAATTGGGCTTAAATAATTCAAATTTTATCTCTGATAAAAATGATATAACTCTTTTGTCCCTTTCCAGAACCTTCACAATCCTTTATTTTCCTGGACTGAATAACACAGGTTTGAACTGTGAAAGACTTTTGAAAAATTGGTTAAACCCCAAGAAAGAAAAACAACAAATATGCTCAGCACTTTAATATATCTTAGTCAACTTCTGTGTCAAACTCGGTAATCATTACTCTTTCATTGGGCAACTGTCACCATTTTTAACACTATGCATTACTGTAACCTCCCTTTAAGTTTTCACCTCTATTTAATAAGCAACATTTTGGTGCCATGTATCCATAAATTGTTGTAAAATTAAATTGTAAAATGATTAGTAAGTCACTTCATTTGTATGGGATTAAACTGATTTCAGGTATTAAATGAAAAATCAGGGCTTGTTATTTAAATACCATATCAAAGAGGTTTCTAGAATTTCCTTCTTTCATCTGCGCAATATTGCAAAAATAAGAAATCTCCTGTCCAGGGGTGATGCTGAGAAACTAGTCCATGCATTTGTTACTTCAAGGCTGGACTATTGTAATTCTTTACTATCAGGAAGTCCACAAACTGTAGTTAAAAGCCTTCAGCTGATCCAAAATGCTGCAGCCAGAGTTCTAATGAAAATGAAAAAGAGAGATCACATCTCTCCTATCCTGGCTTCTCTTCATTGGCTTCCTGTTAAATCCAGAATAGAATTTAAAATCCTCCTTCTCACATATAAAGCCTTAAATGGCCAAGCTCCATCTGATATCAGAGATCTGATTGTTCCTTATGTTCCTAACAGAGCACTTCGCTCTCAATCTGCAGGTTTACTAGTGGTTCCTAGAATTTCTAAAGGTAGAATGGGAGGCAGATCTTTTAGTTATCAGGCTCCTCTCCTGTGGAACCAACTACCAGTTTTAGTCTGAGAGGCAGACACCCTGTCTACTTTTAAGGCTAGGCTTAAAACTTTCCTTTTTGATAAAGCTTATGGTTAGAGTGGCTCAGGTTATCCTGAGCTATCTCTATAGTTATGCTGCTATAGGCTTAGACTGCTGGAGGACATAGGGACCCCTTTTTTTATTATTCTGCTTCATTCTATCTCTATTCTCCCACTCTGCAGAATCTGTTAGTTCAATCTCTAACAGTATGCTCTCTCTGCTTTTTCTCATAGTAGTAGCTTCGCCTCGTTTGTTCCTGTTTGGCTGTGACACCATCCAGGAGAGAAATATCAGCTGTGCTGCTGCCATCAACACCCTTGTTTACAGATGTTCAAAATCTGCCTGTTTTCCAGTGTAGTCCTGTTTCTCTGACTTTGACTGGCTGGATGTGCTCTCTTCATCCTCTGACGTGGGAGCTTGCTCGGAGCTCGTCTGCCTGGCTGTGTGTTTCCTGGACGGGGCCGCCTTTTACAGTTGCTTTCTGTATCTCTGCTTCTGTCTCCTTAAACCCCAGTCGGCCTCGGCAGATGACCGTTTAGACTGAGCCTGGTTCTGCTGGAGGTTTCTTCCTGTTAAAAGGGAGTTTTTCCTCTCCACTGTCGCTACAAGCACGCTTAGTGTGAGGGATTGCATTCTATTCAATGAGTTGATGCAATGAACTGTTTTTCCTTAGATAGAAAACTCAGAATCAATTGGACTGTATGATCTGGTGAACTGTAAAGTGCCTTGATGAAATGTGAGATGACGTGTTGTGAATTGACGCTATATAAATAAACCGAACTGAATTAAATAAAAATGTGCAAATCCAAAAAATTACCGGTAAGGTTGAGTGAACTGGTTCTTCAAACCTAAAGCTACTGATCCCAAATATGACGATGAAAGTTGGTGGGACCCTAAGCCAATGAATACCAAACTTTTTTTGCTGGGCCCTCCTTCAGATTAAAAGTCAACAAGATTACACACTTTTAATGCCTCAGAAAACCCACCCCAACGGTAAACAACACTAAATGAAATAAATTAAATATTGCAATAAAATGAATTACAACCTAATTTAAATCGAACTATTATCTACAGACCGTAATTATATCAGTATAATACTTATTTTAAAGTAAAACAGAATTCAACATTTCTATAAATACATTTAAAAAAAAAAACACGTCTCAAAATTGGTCAATTAATTATTAAATTCATTATTTATCATGCAGTTACACTGGATCCCCCCAGAGGGGTTACTTGGGAACCACTGTCGTAAGCTAAAGCTTTAGGAAAATAGGTGGGTAACGTTATACTACGGGGGTTTACGAATTAGAAGAAGGGAACTAAGACTATTTCTTCTAAACAAAATAAGTTATTACTTTGTGTGAAAAAAATATAGATACTGCATGTAGGAAAGAATTCTCTCATGTTAACCTTTAATTAAATCTTCTGCTCAAGTTTTACTGTTAAGGTTTGATCTCCAGTCCCTCTAAAAACAGGAGATTTGAAATACAGTGTACTTTTTTAAAGTAAGTAACTATTTCTAAAATTTCTGTAAAAAAACAACCTATAAGCTACATTTTATCTCATGCTTGTGTTTTAGTTCAGCTTGTTTCAGTGATGATAAAGGAAGAAGGTATATTTTTCTGTTGTGAGTTCAGTAAATGCAAATTGTGCAGCACCACACCTTTCCAACTACTTCAAAGTCTCTTTAAAAGGTTTCTTCATGACTCACCTCTCCTGGGCCACTTTGTAGTTGGCGTTGAATTTCACCTCCTGGAAGGGCAGGATGAACTTTACAGAGTCTCTTTCCGGGGTCCCGTCTAAAGGCAGGGGATTGTTACTGCAGCCAGAAGCCGACTCCTCCACTGAGACACAGCAGAGAAGTTTGAAAACTCTTTAAATTATGCAATATATAACACAGGTTAATAAAACCACCCAAAGAAAGCTATCCTTAAAATATTCTTAGATTTTATTCTCTTCAAATGATGCTATTATCCAACTCTAGGACTAAGAAACTGATTGAGGTGCAGGCATACAGTAGTTGTTGGTACCCCTACAACTAATTCAAGAAATGCATCATTTCACATGGACTGGACCACGGGACACAAGAGGGGATGCAACCCCTGATTGCAGAGATCAAAGGCCACCGCTTTGTGATTGCTCCACGGTTTACTTCTCTAAGAAGGAAGGAAGGAAGGAAGGAAGGAAGGAAGGAAGGAAGGAAGGAAGGAAGGAAGGAAGGAAGGAAGGACAATCTGAGCAAAGTTTGCATACTCTGATGCTGATTTGTAAAACAGATATGAAAGTTGAACTTCACAAAATTCCCAGTAGTCCTTATTTGACTTAATCTAGTATTCTTGCAGGGTTATGTCATTATTATCCTCATATAATTACTTTACTCTCATAATTCTACTACTTTATTCTCATAGTATTAGAGGCTGTCAAAAATAAAACTCTTTTTATTCTGGCACCAATACTCTGTTTTAGTTTTTGGACATGTTCATCAAGAAATATTCACATAAACCAGTGACAGAGCAAAGTATGGTTAATTTTTTTCTGTAAGAGAAGATGGACCTTAAAGGAGGAGGTAAATATTAACTAGCTACATTTAGTTCAGTAACTTTTTGGAAAAGCACTTATAGGAGTAGATTTACACCATTGTACTTTTTACTTTTGAGTAAAGGTAGTGCTTCTCCTACGATATTTAAGGTACTCTACTTGCCTAAGCTTAAAGATTTTAATTAACAGACAGAATTAAACCCTTCAGAAAAGAAACTAACTATAGAGAAAAACATTATAAATATGTGTTGGTTATAATGGACAAGTTACAGCTGTTTGAATTTAGCTTTTCAACTGTAAGGTTGTATTAATCATCCCAAAATATTCCAATTACCGTATAGTTCTTTAAATACATCCTCAGAAGAACAACAAATAGCTCTGACAAGCAGATGAAGCTGAAATGAAGCAGCAGTCTGTGAAAAGTAACCCTACCCTTCCTGCTGCAGCAGAATTGAAAAAGCAGCCAGGTGAAAAATTAAAATACGAATAAATGATTCAGTTTTTGTTTCTCGGTCTGGAAAATTTAGCTGCTTCTACACCGTGCCAGAGCAGAAATACGTCAGTTACTGTAAAAAGCTGTTCATACATCTGGGTGGAGATAAAAAGCTGCTGCCAAGCAATTTAGAGTATTTATTCACATGAAATGTCATGGCTCAGGACCAGAAGTTTTTACCTTATGTCTCATTAGAGCTAAACTTCATTTTACTCACCGGTGAGAGAGAGGTGCACAGGAACAGAGCTGAGCGGTGAGGTGTTTATGTTCTGTCTGGTTGGAGGTGCAGGAATCAGGTCCTCAGCCATCAGGTAGATGAAGTATTGCCCTGCTGCTGCATTTCCAGTGAATTTCAAAGTGCAGCTCTCCTGTTAAACAGTTTATCAAGCAAAGTGAAGAGAAATGCTAAACAAGGTTTCCTTGGAGAGTTGGAATAAAATACATAAACAGGTTTATCGCAGTCATTGATATGTACTGTACTGTGGCGGCACTGTACTGCACTTTTTGATATTTTATTTATTTTTGTTTTTTTTCTGTTCAGCACTTTGGTCAGCTGTGGTTGTTTTTAAGTGGTTAACAAATAAAATGGGATAGAAAATTATTAAAGATTACGTGAAGAGTTTCTTTCAACTGAGAGTCCTAAATGTATTTACTGTATGGATAATTATATGTCATAAGCTAAAGGAATTATTTACAGTCACTGGACAATTATTTCTTCACATGCAAGCAGCTGGTGGTTCAGCATTACTTAATATGGTTCCTCTTTGAGACTATTACGCAAGTCAGCTGAGTGGTAAGGCGAGGAAATGAACACAGATCAGTGTTTGCAAGCGACTTCTCAACTTTTCAGTGGAACAGTCATTAGAAGCACATAGAAATTCAACAATCTGATTGGTGGAGAAGGTGAAATCGGCTGCAGGACTGACAACCAATGAGCCGCAAACTTATAAACAAAGGAAAACAGCATTGTTATTCAGGTCTTTACTAGAATTATCATCTAAGTCCTAATCATTTAATCACGTAGTTTGAAAGAATATTGTACACTCAGTGATTTAAGCGGCTGTAGAACCAACCTCAGTTGTTATTTTCTAGGTGGCTTTATCACTCTCTCACTTTTTTCACAAGTAGTTACAAACTTTTATTCCTGACAATGTTGCTTCAGTTCACTGAGCTTTGATGCCAGTTGTTGAAACACAGCTTGTGATTGGCCGTCTAAGGCTGAGATCTGGAAGACAACTGTTTGACAATTCTTTACTTTTTTTCCCTACTCCCTACTCTTGTTTATATATAAGAAGCATGGCCTAAAATTGACCAATGAGCTTATGGCCGACTGACCCAGATCCTATGACTGTGAAAGAGCTCCACATCATCTGCCTTTTTTTTTTTTTAGCCATGCTTGACAATCTGTGTGAGTTTTCTGTCTTTGGTTTCTGCTGAACATGTTGCCATGGATTTGCACCCTATCTGTAATTTGCTCTTATCCATCCAACAAATGTTTTTGACCACAGCTTTGCGTCCTTTATAATCCAAAGAGCCATTCTTGACCTCAGTTCATTTGAGTTAAACTCCTTTAGAGCTTCAAATATTAAATTATCTTCTAAAAAAATCCAGCTGAATTTTCTATAAAAATTGGTTAAAGGAAATTTGTTGCCATTTTTAATATTGTGAAATAATAAACATTGATTCCAACCTAGTTACAAGAAAATTAGATCCAAAAACATATATTTTAAGTCTTAAGAGCAGAGCAAATATTCAGTAAAAAAAAAAAAAAAATATGCTAAATTGGCTGTACCCGTTGTCTTATTAAAATTTGAAAAACTGTTGGTTCTTTATGATTTTTAGCCAGAGTTAAAGAGAGTTAAGGTCCACTTTCAGTTCTGGAGCCACAGGCTGCACAGCTGGTTCTAGATCCTGTTCAATAACACTTTCCAATCTCAGGCTAAAATCCTTTATACAAAGCTGTACTTCTTAAATCTTTTTCCAAATAATTCTAACATTAAAAACATAAAATGAGACCTGTTGAGACTGAGATATTTGAGGGGTTTTAATGCCTGTTAATTACACATACTCTTAACATGGGGTGATCCTAGAAGTTATGGGAATTTCCACTTCTTGGACAATTAGCAAATATAAATGTTTTCTTCTCCCTGTAGAATCTAGGATTTCAACTATTTTGCACTTTAGGATAACAAGAAGCCATCATTGCTGATGTATTTCCTCCCTGGCTTTTTTTTTTATGACTTGCCTGTTTGGTTTTGCCTGACCTGGAAACTGGCAGAACCTTTGCCCTGGTGATCATTTTCGGCTATAGAACAATATTTCATGTTCTGCTGCATGATGCCACAGAAATAAAAGGTAATCTATTGTTATTTTATCATGACTGGAAGGGTTGAGTTGTAAAGTAGAGTTGAGGTAATAAACACAGATGACTAGACTTAAAATTCAAAAGGTGGCACTTAGATTTGAAAAAAATAGATAACGAATTCATAGCTACTGAATGAACATTGCATATTTACTTAAACGCACCAGTTGGGTCTTAATCTCTTCCAGTTTATTTTACCTCAGCTTGCATTCCTTCCCACCAGCTGCCCAACTAAAGCATAATTTCCTGTTCTATCTGAAACTGATTCAATCTTTATCAAATCCTAAACCAATCCAATCCTAACTTAAGGGATAATCCATCATTCCTACTTGGTAAAATTGGATTTATTTCTTTAAAGCTAGAAGATTTACCTCATCCAGTTCCAGAAAAGAGTGAGGAGCACATTCCTGGCACTCTCCTTTGTCGGCAAGAGCAAAGCGGCATCGGACTTTGTCCCCATCCAGGTCCTTAGCTGAGATATGGAAGTCGGCGGGACAGTTTACGGTGGCCCTGATGCACCAGCACATTATTAGGAACAAAATCAGTAACAGATAAGGATACAGTTCCTAAACTGATCAGTTGTGGGAAAGGTGAAGGCAGTGGGAAGATTCGATTAGACACAGTTACATACTACAAAAACACAGCAAAGCATTTTACCACGTTATGTTCTGACTTTCCTTTTTTAGAGATTCACCAGCTGAGGCCAAAAGAAATGATAAAAGAAAAAGAGTAGAAACAGAATTCGCTAATAGATGAATAACTGAGAGGTTTAAGAATGAATCTTTAAAATGCCCATATCCCAATCTCATAAATAATTAAGCTGGGCAAAAGCTGACATTTTAATCTCAGATTTAATAGGTTGTTAGAAAAAGTTTTTTTTATTACATAAGTTTGCTACCTTAGTGGAGGAGGAAGAGCCACAAAAGCAGGTCTGTTGAGTTTCCCATTATTCGCCCGAATCTTTGGGTCGGCCTTTATCGAGACATAAAACACTGTGTTGGACCTAAAAGTAAGGAAAACATGTAAATCAGATTTTTATTTTCATTACAATTATTCAATGAGCTGTGAATCGAAAAAAAACAAAAAACATTTGGTATCATTGGAACAAGAGGAAGATGTACTCTGGTTAGGAAGGGACACGTCTAGAGGAACGGGGACAAACCTATTTAAATGGTGACATTGATCAGCAAAAAAGATGTATCCTCTGAGAAGCCGACCTACACAGACTTATCCTAAAAAGCTAATAAAGCTTTCACATTCCAGCTCTCATTACTTACAAACTGACTGCATTAGTGTTTTAAATCCAAGGCCTTTCATAAGATCACTGAATACTGATCAAAAAGTGCTCTAATTAAACACAAAGCTTTAGTTTTCACCAGGAAGTCTTCTGCATGGTGTTCACAGCTTCTGAAATTGTTGAATAACATTCTCATCGTGTTAATATTACTTTAGTTCGCTGCTGTTTTCAGGTATTTAATTGATATGCAGCTCTCCTGTTGTTCCAGAATATTCTTTTATTGTAGGTATAATCAGTTTCTGGTGGTTCATAGCCTGTGGACCCACCTGACATAGCCTCAGGTGGATCCACAGGTTAGGAAAATAATTCTTTTCTCAGTGTTTTTTAATGTTTAACAAATATAAAAATTAGGATAGGATTTTTTTATGTAATTTGAATTTTATTCCGAATTCGATTATTTGTTAGAGAGTTAGACAAATAACTGAAGGTTTGCATTACCATCTGGTATAGATTCTGGCTATGATGTTTAGTTTCTCAAGACTGAATATATATAACCACTATATAATCAAAACTTATCAACCTTTTCTTTTAAAATATGGATTCCTAATTTGCTCCATATTTGCTACGTACCCATTTCATTGTTCTTTCTGAACAAGCCAAACATGTTTAATGTTCATCTAATCTTACAGTTTTAGACTCTATCAGTCTACATGCTAACTGAAGCATCGATGACCTTCATGACTAATTGCTCGTGCCTTTTCTCCTTACAACCAATCCAACAGTAGAAATCTCAGTTCATTTCTGCAGAGGTGTTGACACTGACTACTGATCACGTCAGTTTGAATAAAGCAAGTTTTTCCTCAGTTTGGCTTTGCATTCGTTGTATAGCAGTACTGTTAAATATGTCATTATTTCCTTTTTTCATAATTTACTCTCTTCCTAAACCTTAAAAAAGACTTAGGGTATTTGGATTTTTTCCACTGTTAAGATCTCGAAAGATGAAGCCAAGTTTTTGAAATTGTGAAATACCAAACAAAACTAGCTAATAAAGCAGGAGCCTGGTAGCTCATACCTGCAGCAAGTGTGCGATAAATATGGTTCAACTGGCTACAGATTTACAAATAAAAGAGGAAAAATATCTCTGGAAAATATATATTAGAAATGTCCACTTTAGGGGGATTAATGGAGACCTTATACCCCAGTTTGAGGAGTTCGTTGTAATTGCTGGGGACAGTCTTCTGCCATTGGCGGACACACCAAGCTGGGCTGGGTTTGGTGTAGCTGTAAGGTAAGGAGGTGCGGTGGGACTGACAGTCCTCTCCTGCCGCACAGACCTCCGATAAATCAGGACAAGGAGAGGGAGTGATGACGCTGAAGTGAGCCCGCACCTGCAGGGGGAAAATGGCCGTCAGTTGAGTATATGCTCCCTTAGGGGTTCAATTTTCACTTTTTTAAAATTATAGCCAAATGTTATCCGATTATTATTATAGGCAACTTGAGAAGATTAAGAGAAATCATGAATTAATTCTGTTTAATTTGAGAGTTTTAAAGCAGGAATGTTCAGTTAAATGTCCCTGAAAAAGAGTTAAATGGTTTTAACCTAAAAGCCTTTTTTGAGCACATTTATTTTAGTATTACTGTCCTGCTGCAACACTTGAGCGTAGAGGATGTAAAAAAAATTCTCCTTCAGGATTTTCTGCTGCCAGAGAGTATTTAGATTGTGGCTCCATAACTTGTTGGTGTCCAAATGCCTTAAGCAACCTCAAAATATTATGATGTTTGAGTCCCACTCTTTTTTTCTTTGAGTTTTTTCTTAAACACTGTTTTCTATCAGGTGTAAACAGACATGCACCTTTTTAAAGGTTCCTCTTTAGTCACTTTATTGTTATTTAACAGTCCTCTGCAGAGGATGCTCACTGTTGTCCATGATATTCTTCACCTAATGAAGAACTTTTATTTTGTGAAATAATCTCTAGAAGTTCTCTCTCTCTTGGGAGAGGTTTTCTATGTCCCTCTGTTTGTCTTTGGACCCAGATACACAGAAAGGAGAAAATGGACATTAGTTTTTAATAAATTCTTTGTTTGGGGTGGGTAAACTAGCAATTTGAATGACCAGGAAGAATCAGATGCTGGGTCAGGGTTGGACAGAGCCTGAAAGGTCTGGTTGCAGCTCGTCTGAGAGTAGAGCATGCTTTCTACACACTGACTAATAATTGGAGCCTTTCAGGGCGCTGTGGGGGATCAGACATGTTTTATGATCAGTAGAGGAAGATGGCTCACTGGTTCTTCACATTTAAATAATCTGTGTGTGTTTGTGTGGTAATGGTGTTTTTTTTATTTTTATTATTATGATGAAAAAGTCTGTTTTCTGATGTGAAGTAAATAAAAGATGTCAAAGGTAAAAAAAATAAATAAACTTAATTAATGCCATATTATTTTTTTTCTCTCTCTCAACAATCTGCTCTGTCTCTTCTTGTAGACGGATTTACAGCTGTGCCTCCAGTCTACTTTGTTGTCTAAGTGCACACCAAGGTGTTCTTACTCCTCAACCATGAAGTGGGAGAAGCGGAGATGTTAATTGAATTTAACTTGTTCATGTTTCTTCTGAAATCTACAATCATCTCCCTTGTTTTGTTAACATTCAGGATGAAATAATAGTCCCCTTTTAACGGATTGTTTTGATGCACCCACTGACAGCAGAGTCAGCACTTCTGCAGGTAACAGGACTCTATCTGGTACTGGAAGTCAAACGTGTTGAGAGTAAAAATTAATGGAGCGGGTACCGCCCCCTGTGGTCCTCCTGTGCTGCTGACTACTTGATTAGACAGTTGACCCTTCAGTCTAACTAAATGTGGTCTGCTTGTCAGGTAGTCTTTGATCCAGGGGATTGTTGATCCCTCTGAGTCTTCTGAGGTTTCTCACAATGTAGGTCAGGCTGAATTATGTTAAATGCATTGGAGAAATCAAAGGACATGATCCTCACAGTGCTATCTGCCTTGTCTAAATAACAGTGGGTTCACTTAATGCTTAATACTTAAATACTTAACCAAACAGAGGAAGACATTTCTTACAAAGAGACAAAAACAAGAAAAACTTGGTATCCTTTATCAAGTGGAATATTGATGATTTAAATGGATTGCAAATGTTTTACACAGTTGCATAATGAATGATTCATAGGATATTTGTCCCCTTTAATCAAATTAAAGCCTATTTCAGTTTTCAGGATAAAACTTTTTAATAGGCTTAAACTGAGACATTATTTTTAAAAGGATACTTACCTCCCTTGAGAGCAAAGGACTTACAGCTTATAGAAAAACAGTGTGGTACAAACAGCAGATTTGTGTTTTAGACATAAATGATCTATCTATCTATATATATATATCTATATATATATATATAGATATATATATATATATATATATAGATACATACAGCAGAAATTGTTAGAAAGGTCAGTGTTTAGTATCTGAGCTTGATTCTGCTCACAGACAGAAAGACTTTACCCACCATTTTCCCTCCATCGCTGTCCAGAGGCACAACATGAACCGTGAGCCCCAGAGAGGAGGCTTCACAGGCCGGACTGAACAGAAGGAGAATTAGCCACTGCAGCAGGACACCCACTTTGAATCTCTCCACCATCTCCGCTCCTCAATCCGACATGGATTCTGATGGACAGCATGTTACAGTTTATTTTTTACCCACAAACAATGGATCAGAAAGTCTGACAACTTCAATACTACAAAAAACAGCAAGGCGGAGTCAGCCTACCCAGCATAAAGAGAACATCTATTAAGAACGTTATTGAACCCTCATGATCATGATTATGGGAGATAATGGCAGCTGTTCTGACTGCTGTGATGTAAAAAGCAGAGGAAGCATCAATTTAGATTTTATGAAATAATCAAAATAAGATTAAAAATAGTTATTTCATGGAGTAAACTTAATATTTACTGCATGAAATAACTATCAACACTTTATCCTGATATTTGAAGTATTTTTTTATGAGGCCTTTTTTGGTTCTTGTAGGTGTGCTCTGTTTTTTTTCAAACCCAATTAAACTGCAGCAGGTGCCTCGGTTCTGCTGTAGGTTTTTTTTTTCTGTTAAAGGGTAGTTTTCCTTTCCACTATCGCTACATGCTTGTTTAGAATGAGGCATTCCTGCAAAGTGAAGGATCCAAATTTCCTCAAGAAATACACTAGCAAGTGATTACATTTTCAGTTTGTTGATTTATCTGCAACTGGTACGTACCAAACTTAGAAAACCTTTCACCTTTTTATTCTTATTTTTTATTTTTATTATATTGTATAGTTGGGTGTGTATATATTATATAAAACTGTAACTGGAGCGTGTAACAAAAGTAATTTCCCTGTGGGATTATTAAAAGTATTTCTGATCCTTATTTTGCCTCTAAAAGATTTTTAGTAGATCTGCTATGAATCTTTTATGATGTGACTAAACAAGACAAATCCCCTTCGTTTGGAGGAAATTGGATTTTTCTGAAAGATTATTAAAGCCATGCTAAAAGTTCAATTAGTCAAATAATTTATTTCTATTTTTATAACTGTTAATGAACTGCCCACTCCTTCTCCAGCTGCTAATGGGAGGGGTGTAAACCCATTTTACTACATATAGAGCATGGTTTTTAAGTTCAACCATAAATCAATGTCCCCAGAAAACATAACCATTTCTTACAGCACATCAATTTTTAAGAAAGAATTAAAAAAATTTTAATAAAAAAATTAAACTTAATCTGCATATATTTTTATCTAAATGTTACATTATTGTAACTTATATGTTCAGTTTAATGGATGAAGATTTTTTAGTAAATTGACAGTTTGAAAACACCTGTCTTCTACTTTCATGTCCAGCATAAATCTCACTTTTTAGACTGCTAATATCAAGTTTATGTTACTTGCTTTGATGCATTGTAGATCTGTTGCAGTTTAAGAACATCTCCCATATTACAAATCATTTTTACATCGATTATGACCGCCCTAAAATGGATTTAGCTACCAAGAGCTTATTAATATATGGGCTTACACAAAGACCATTGTATCAAATCACCTTATTTTCTAAAGGACATTTAGAAAAACCCTGGGGTAACCCAAGAGCAAGTGCTTCACTCAAAAACATGACTGCATGACAACTTTTCTTCTGAACAAAAACACTAATTATATATATATATATATATATATATACATACACATATATACGCACACACAGTGGTGTCAAAAGTACACACGTTTGTTACTTAAGTAGAAGCATAGATACTGCAGGTTAATAACACTCTGGTAAAACTTTAAAGTAAAAGTTAAATTGTATGTGCTCCAAAAACTACTTAAAGTATAAACGTATAAAGTAACCTTATAAAAGAAACAGCCAGATGCCACTATATGAATTGAAAGCTCAATTTTTCAAAAACTTCTATGAGAGAGGGCAAAGGATGAGGGAGGTCTTGTTGGTCTCCATCTCCCGATACGTTCTCGCCCATTTCCGACCTTTTGACATCTTTCTCTGAATCCGAAATTGTAGCATGGCATAGACAATTCACGTTTGCAGTTTGAAGAACACCTGCTTGCTTCTGAGGATTTCCTTTAGTTAACCAATGAGTGTTTGCATTGTTAAATGCATCCAATTATACTAGATGTGGATGGCACCAATGTTCTGTATTAGATGGCACACGACATGAAATAAATATAAACCGAAGACAAGAGTAACGAGTAACGTTTGTCTTAAAAGGACTAGAAAGTACAGATACTTGAAAATGTAACGAGTAGAAGACAGAAGTAGGGAAAAAAAAAAGTAATGGAGTATAGATACCTAAAAAGTGTAGTACAGTAATGAAATATTTGTACTTCGTGTTTGTCAGAATTGTTTTTAAATCTCAAAGTGGTTTAATACTTTTTGCCAACACCTGACTGTTTTTGCTAACGAGCCTCCAACTGCTGCATTCACACGTTTGGTTTCTGTTAACATCGATCTATTGTTTCAGTTTCCGCAGTAAGAGAAGCTCTTTGTAGAAGCTGTTGGATACGGACAAAAAGCCATTTTCCACTTTGTCATCTACTTGGAGTATTAATATCATGTATACTTTAGTCTAAAGACAGATCGTGTCTTAAAGCCCATCAGGTTTAAATACTGTAAAATTTAAATAAGGTAATATTGAATCCTCAAATATCAAAGTAAAATGATCAGAACAAAATGGATCTTTTTACCTTCAGCTACTGGAATCGGTTGTATCCAAAGCGCAGCTTGCGTTTAGTGAATGTCGTCTTGAAAGCAAAAGGTGTTGCTGTGCTTAAATATGGGCATCAGAATGGAGTTAAACTGGCTGGACCAGGGGTTGATGACGAGGCAGCACAATAGTCGCATGTCAAGAGGAGGGCTTAATGAACCAGAGCTGTATCCTGTACTCTTTAAAAATGCTCAGCAATTTATTTATTTTTTTTATGTTCATAACATACGTCATCATACTGCAGCTCAGTTATGCAAAAGTTTTATATTGAAAACAAACATCTGGACAGAAACTGGAATGATTTTCATTGAGAATTAACTTTATTATTTGCAGAAACAGTGCAATTACCTTTAGGGCATGATTTAGAGCAAATTGATCAGTTGATAAAAATATTGTTCTTATGCCAGAAAGTGTCTTTAGTCCGTTCAAGTAAACGATACAAGCGTACAAAATTATTTTCTTAAATGAATAATTTTTCTGAGCAAATATAGAGCCACTTTGTCACACCCAACACTCAATGAAGCAATTATCTATATTTGGTCACGAAACAGTCCCCCCCCTAAGAGAGGAGAGGTGTTTATTAAGAAGACTGGTCCCTGGAGTTGGAGCAGAGGGTAAAGGAGGCAGCTCCGACAGTTGAAACTCCTCCTCGGCATCTGTGGACAAACAGGCCATCCTCTTTGGACCTCACACCTCAGTGCCATCAACTGGAGATACATCCTTCAATTACTGGCCGTTTTTCACACCAAGCATTTTTTCCTGCGATGAACAGATTATTTAATTTTTCAGGAGCCATTTGTGCATGATTTTTCTTTTTTCTTTTAAAGAAAAAAAGTTGTGTTCCTACTTTGATCATAGCTTCAAGCTTAATGGCATCTGCAGCAAACTTGCGGATGCCATCAGACAGTTTCTCCACAGCCATGCGGTCCTCATTGTGCTGCCAGCGGAAAGCCTTTTCATCCAGGTGGATCTTTTCCAAATCACACGCCTTGGCTGCAAAAAACAGAGCGAACGTGAAAACACAGCAGAACAACTTCTAACCCCGTTTGTGGAAATAATGAAACCAAGCAGGATTTATTCCGACTGAAACTGTATCACTGCTTATCGAACACCGAAATATAGCACATTACATTTCCATGGTAACAGGGTCTTTCTCAGTTTTTTTCAAATTCAAACTACTTGATGAATACAGTATAAATATTTACTATAAATGAACAGAACAGAAAGTGTTTTTTTCCCCTCCTGAAGTAAAAGAAGCTAATAGAAGTGGGGAGAATACATTTGGTCCTGACTATAAATAACAATAAACACCTGGAATGCATACCTAACATTATGATTGATCAACACTGAAGTCATTCCTCTGAGTAAAGCCTAAAGAAGTCTTACATTTCTCCACGCTGAGCATCGCAGTGACAGCACTGTGATCCTGGCTGAGTTCTGCCAGCAGTCCAGGGGAGATGGTCAGCAGGTCACAGCCAGCCAGGGCCTTCACTTCCCCCGTGTTCCTGAAGGAGGCACCCATCACTACAGTGCTGTAGCCAAACTTCTTGTAGTAGTTATAAATCTTTGTCACGCTAACCACACCTAGGAAAGAAAAGGGATTTAAATAAAACAAAAAACCCATCAAAACACATAACGTCTCCTTTGTCTTCAACAATGAGCTTTAAAATTTTGAGAATTCATTCAGGAATATTTAGTAGATAAACATTATTTGCAAAAGAAAGACCATAAAATTAGTCACATATGAAAAAAAAAATGAAAAAAAAACTTCAAATATATCTCACAACACATTAAAGTACATGCCATCTGCAGATTGTTTCCTGAGTGGGTTTTAGGAGAGGTTCCAGTTTAATAACGCAAGATGCACAACTTTCTACATAAATTAAGCCTTCATATTTAAAAAACAAAAACACTCCAGACCAGCAAGAATAAAAATAACTACTGCTGAAAACGATGCCTGCATTTTCTTCCAGCTACAATTTCACCCCCTCCCGACATTTAGAGATCATGCTCGCTATGATGAAACATGTTGTAATTTAACACCTTTCTGAGGTCAAATAAAGCTGCAACTTTACAGTACTTCAAAACTAGACCACCTTAAGCAACAAACCCCAAATTATTATCACAAGCAGTGTTTACATAGCCTGTGATAACATCCAACCCTTCAGACAAACAAATGACATACATATACACTTATATACACACACACACACTATATATAGATTTTTTTCCCCGGCAAAAAACAACTCCAGCTCCAAATGTAGCTGGTCATCCAGGCTTCTTTGCAGTTTTTCTTTCTACACAGAAGTGTAAAGATGCACGTGACAAAGAGATCAGAAACCAGATTACAGGAGGATGAGGATATTCACAAATGCTTTAAAGGGATTGCTTAGAGTTCCCCGTCTATATGCAGTGATTTACTAAATGTTTTGGATAACATTTTAGAGGGTTAAGTGACTCCTGTACCGATCATAGCTAAAGTACAATCGGCTGAAGCAGTAAAGAGTGTTTATCTAGTTAAGAACAGCTATGGTTACCTGGGTCCTCATGTGGCTCAAAGCTTTTGCGGTCTGTGTTTTCCTTGTACCAGTCAAGGATGCGTCCAACGAAGGGGGAAATGAGAGTCACCTTTGCTTCTGCACAGGCAACAGCCTGAGCGAAGGAGAACAGCAGAGTCATGTTGCAGTGAACTCCGTGCTTCTCTTCAAGCTCTCTATTAAAAAAACAAAACAATTATGGACAATCATGACACGCCAGGTTCTGATTTCAACTTCAAATATGACAGATTCAGTCTCTGGAAAAAAAGCTATTTTTCTGTAATTCTAAAGTTAATTTCTGCCAAATCATTTCTCTTTAGTAACAAGTCAAAATACAAATCCTACATCCTACTTTTCCCAGGGAAGAAGATTCCAGAAGCAAGCAACACTTTGCTTCATTTCAACACCTGATGTAACAATGTGGAAACTTTCCACCAACGTAACACTTTGAAAAATAATCTGGTGCCATAAATTTAAAGGTTCAGAGGCGTTTGGTTGCGAATGTGTCGTGAGAATGACCTCAATCTGAAGAAGGTCTATTAGAGAGGAATTTTCTCTTCAGTCCAGGTCCTAAAGGTCACAATCTAGTATCCATCTTTGACAACAGGGACAAAGAGGGGCTAATTTAAAGGAGTCTGATCTCACATATTCTGCATTCTTCTTAACATCTGACCAGAGGAAGGAGCTGATGCTTTAAGTTGTTTGAAGCCCAAACAGGTGTTTTTTTTGTTTGTTTTTTTGTTTTGTTTTTTTCCTCTTTAAACAAATTACTAGAAAATCTAGGAAAAAAAAAAAAAAAAAGAACTAATCGACTACTTACTTTTCTTTTTAAACTACACATCATACCAAACATAAAATACAGTGCCTCCAAATTATCCTCACCCCTTGAGCTCATATTTCTTTGACTCTTTATTCGACAGGAACAATACAAACAGTGACTAAACAAAGCAAGTAATCTTCATACTCCAATCTACATACACTACTGGAAATTAAAAACAAGATCAAATGTAGAACATGCATCACATATACAACTCACCAAATAAAAATACTTAAGAGTACAATAAAACTTTTTTTTTTTTTAATTAGGGTTTTTCAACTTATAATAAAAATAAACAACCATTTGCTTTCAGAACTCATCCAATAAATACATTTAGCTGTAATATCAGTGAAGTGGTTCGTTAAAGTATCCACTCATGGAGGATAAATGAAAGCCCGAACTTTCTGAAATATTTCCGATGCTAGAATATTTCAGACTTAATATCCAAACATCCTTTTCTTTAAAAAGCAAATAGTTCTTCATGTAAAGAATAAAACGGTGTTGAATGATTTTACTATCATTCAACATTTAAGCAAATTCTAAGGCTTACGAAAAACAAAACAAAAAAAACAAACAAGACACACACTTTAGAGGTTTTCATGTTAGATTCTTGAAACATGACACTTTCTGTAGAATTAAACTAGAGTCTTCAATGCAGCAGTTAAAGAGGAAATAATTTTACTAGTAGGAGAAATTAAAGTGTCAGAGATTAGGAAAGCTGACTCTTGTCTATGCAGGAGTGTCTGCTGGATCGCCAATTTCAGAAGTCTAGCACTCTGATAAGTTAAAGTGCATTAAGATAAATATATTTTTAATCTATAGACAGACCATAAAATCAGATGTTAAGACTGTATGGTTTAATCAAAGAGCTCAGGTAGGTAAATGCTCAAACCCTTAAAAAAAAAAAAAAAAAAAAAAAGGACCGAGCTTGAGAAGTCTGGATTATTTCTGCTGCCCTCTTGTGGTCTGGTAAAGATGATCCCAGCACAATGTGAAGAACTTATGTTGTTATAGATAAGAGGAACATTGCAGATCCACAGATTATCCTAACCTGCCACTGAGGCAAGAAGTTTATAAGCACATCTCCAGCTTTTCCCATTCATGTTGTAATTTCCAGCTGGCAATTTTGATGTTGGCTTTTGGCATTTATCATAATTACGATTAAGTTTGTGGGAGAAAAAACGATTTGGCGATCTAACCATCTTTCAGTTCCTAATACTGGGGGGAAGAGGGGAAAAAAAAAAAAAAAACATTTTTATCCATCTCCATATCCGCCACACTGGCAGTTAGTGCTGTGGAGCCCTTTTGTTCGGTGCAGCGCCATATATAAGTGAGGCAGCCACAACGGACTGACTCAAACCATGGTCTGAGAGATATCGTGATAATCTGGGTTGGGAATTGATAAGATTTTCACGATTTTGATTCTCTTATTGATTCAGTGAAACAATGAACATGGTTATTGCACAGTGACATTTGTCTACCTTTGCCTGGGACGTTCTATTTCTGCCTGCCTCTGCAAAAACAGAAGGCAGTGAACAGGAGCTGCCAGCCTCTGAGCCGGCCAGGCTACCCGTCTCGTCACAGAGAAGGCATTGGTTTAATGAAAAAGCATTGCCGTACAATTTCGGGAAATAAACTCATCTCCCCCTGATTTAAATAAACGAGCGTAACCTTTCTCGCGCATCCTGAACTGCGGAGCAACTTCGTAGCATGTTTTGTCACATCCATTGCTAAAGCCAGAATCATGTAAAAATTCCAGCTACCAGTAGTTCTAATTAAACATTCTAGCAATTAAGGAGTGGATTAACGAGAAAGGCCCACTTGGTCTATTTCCAGAAATGGCATATGATTTACTAGGAACCACATTAAGCACAGCCAGTGATATAAAACTAGCTACTTACCACCAGAGTTGCCTTCCATGCTGGTCTTAACTTTAGCTTCTGCCCAGAAGCATCAAAAACACGGCATTTGTTAAAATGTATGCCATGTTGTGTGCCTAGGCGTTTCTACATGTGGGATGCATTTCCTCCCGTGGATGTTATTGCCACTTTGCAATGATTGCAAAGCGCCTTGTTGCCATATTTCCCCTTCCTTAAAATTAAGCGAAACTATCGATCACTTTTGTTTTACTTTTCGAGACTTACGCCTGTTCATGTCATATTTGCGTACTGGATGCCATGTGCGTAAAAAACATGATGCAAGTCGTGCTGCCTGAAATCGATAACAGAATCGTTAAGCAAGCCACCAAACGGTGCCATGGAATTGGAACACACGGAAACTGTTCTGAACAGGAACCGCTTTTTGATTCCCATCCCCAGTGAAAATATTGTATTGTGACCCAAGTACACAATAATATGGTATCGTGACTCGTAACGTATTGCTACACACATGCCAATACTCACCCCTAATTACGATACCACATGTGGGGAATATTAGTTCCAACTTTGTATCTGAAGAGATTCAAGAGCATACTCACTTCCCAGCCTGGATTCCCTCCCATGTTGAAGACAGCTTGATGAGCACACGCTCCTTGCTGATGCCTGCCTCTTCATAAAGAGCAATGAGCTTCAAAGCTTTTGCCACCATCTCCTCTTTATCAAAAGACAATCTGTAGAGAAAGACCGTGTGTAGGGATTTAGGGGCTTAAAGTGAAGATGGTGCTTTCAAAATAAAATGTTTTTGCACTACATCACAATAAATTAGTCCTCACTACAGGAATATTTCTTTAGGTCGGTTGGGTTGTGGTGCGGTGAGACTTCTCTATAGCAGGTGCAAATATTAATATACCGTCTACTAGAAATGCACTACAAAAAGGCTAGACATTAAGGACTACAACCGCAAGGAAGCAAAGCACACAAAAGAATGAGATTCTTATCATTTGCATGGAAGTAATTTGGATTCCTAGATAAGGACACTGATCAAAGAAAGACCAATGTCCAGATTCTCTAAGGAGGTTGTGTAAACATCTGAGGAAACTACCTGAACTCTTAATGGTGTTCTTTGAGCAACTGATAGACTAAATGAGTTTAATTTATTAAAGATGATTTGCTTTGTTTCAGTAGCTTCAATGTGATCAATTTCATTTGGCTGAAAAAGGTTTTTGCAATTAATCATGCCTGAGAACTACTTGTAATACATTTTACCAATTCCCTTCATCTCAAATATTTAAATGCATTTAATTTAAAATAATTTTGTCTGGCAAAGACTAATGCCCAGCTACGTTTAGTTTTAATAATCTTTAACACAATACTTCCGAAATAAATCATAATTTTCCCCTAATTGATGAGCCCTGCTATTCCCAATCTACACTGTTAAAATTTGGGTATAAAAAAGCATTTTATCATCGCTTTGCTTTGATTGGGAGACATGCAGCCTGCACTCACCTGGCATCCACCTCTGTTGAGACTCTACCTGGGACCTTCTTCAGGATTTCCAGTCCAAAACTCACAAACAGCTTGTCCATCGTGTTTGCTACCTGCTCATCTTCAGTCCTTAAAAAAAAAGAAAAAAAAAAAAGAGAAATTTTGTCTCATTTCAAGGTCTCCACATTTAACCTTTACATTAAGATCAGTTGCAGGTGGGAGGGGCTTTTTGCAGGTCGCTTCATTAGATATGGCACTTACCCTCCTTTGGCAATGCCATATTTAATAGCCTGATCCACAAGGTGCTGGTAGGCTGGCATCTTGGCAGCAGCCAGGATCAGGGAGGGATTGGTGGTTGCATCCTGGGGTTTATACTCATCAATGGCTGCAAGGAAAGGAAACAAAGTAAATCAGTACATCCAGAATCAAGCTGAAGCGGCATTAAAAACCATGAAAAAAGAAATACAAACATGAGCTTGGTTTCAGTAAAGCACTACAGCTGGTATGAGAACAGTCTACCTACTCCTGAAAGGTAAAAAGAAAAACCTAAAACCCAAAAGGTGTACTAAAGAAAAATGGCACATAAAAAAAATAAATGCACATCGTCGACTTAAAAAAATTATTAAAGTTATAGCCCTACCATTAAAAATGCCTGCCTGCACAGCCTAATATGCAAGAGCAAATTGTCCGCATATTTTTTAAATTTAGAATCCTTAAAACTATACAATTACTGTCCAATGATTATAAATTGAAGTTTCCTTAAAAAATTTAAATCAACCTGAGAAAAAGTTCATGACTGACAAATAAAATCTAAAGGCTGCAGTCAGTGAAAAATGCTGCCATCTAGTGTAGAAATGTTGGTCTTAGTCTCTAAATTCCAGTCACATGCACAAGATTAGCTATTTGTTCATTTGGGAATACACACTTGAGTCAGTCTTAAAAGGGAACAACAGTTAAATCCAATAAGGATTAGTAGCTCTGCGGTCTGTTTACCTACAGAGGAAGTTTGGGTTAATCATAGCTTTAAAATGATTGGAGCAAACACTGAGCGACTGTCCAATTGGATCACATCTGATGACAGAGCTAGAGACGCATACAAACAAAATTAAAAACAGAAATAATGAGGCTGTGAGCCAGCAATGATGCAAACTAACAGAATTAAAAACAGAAAATGCAGTTTAATCTAAGAGGTACATGCAGAATAAAAAGTTTGGAGCAGCAGAGTCGAGATTAAGTTTCAATCACTTCAGCTTCAGAACAAAGCCTCTCTGTTATGCAGCTGGTATGTTGATACCTCTTCACATAGGGGGAGGATGGGGAATCTTTCACATTTCAGTGCATTTGAATAAGATTTTCATAATTTATGGCCCATCCACAGGTTATGGTCACACCAAATGGAATGAAATTATACAGCAAATCACACATTTCAGGTTTAAAATAAAGATAGTGCCCAATTGTTACTTCTTAAAAAAAAGGTTTTCTTTTTCCCCAAAGGTTTTCTTTCAAAAAAATACTTCTAAAACAGTGCTTTGGCCAACTACAGTTTAGACATACTGTTTAATGAGAACATGTCCAAGCTTGCAAGTGATGACATATCTTACAACATCTTTGCAAAACCTAGATTACACAAACCAAACAACCACTGAAAGTCCTGAAAACCTGCTTCTCTAATCATGGCAAGCTTTGTAATACAGCTTTTGTTTCTTCTTTTATCTCTGACATTCCTGCCAGAGGCAGCTAATGCAATCAAGAGAAATTGTACATCTAGAAACATTATTGATTGCAGGACATTCTACTGATGTGCTTGTTGTCCTAGCATCTTTAAAAAGTTCATTTAAACACTGGTTCTCACTGCAGCAGCCATGAAAAAGCGGGCAGACATTTAGAAATTTCATTTGGACTTCAATTTTAAATTTTTACAGTAAAATTTGTAAAATTGAAGTTACTTTTAGGCCCTATTCAAATTAATTTAAATCTACGTACAGGCGTTTGTAGAAAAAAATCCTCCACAGATATTACAAACTTATCTAGCTTGCCAAAATTACGCTTGAAATTTTATGAACTTAGCTTTACTATTAACATTCATTTCAGAGTGGATATGTGTGGTCTGCGGAAAAAAAAAAAAAAAAATTGGACATGTCAGAATTTAACTATAACGTTTGCTTTAAGAAATAGCAACCAGAATCACTTTTAGTTTGATATATTTTATATTGCCACAATAAACGTGTAGAGACAAAAAAATTAGAAATGACCCACACTCTTCTTTAATTAGAATATTTTCAAGCGTAGAATTATCCAATTTTTAGAAAACAAATTGCCACCATGGTCAATAGAGCCTTCTGCTGTGCAGACCCATCTATGAAATGCTTTACAGCAATCTGAGGATGCCACAGACTGTCAAACACTTTAAGAACTGAAAGATTTTCTTTTAGAAATATGCTTTAATTTTGATAGTAATTTTCTCCTGTACCATTTTAAACATTATAAATTATCGATACAAAATGCTAAAAATGGCTTAACAATGACTTCAAATATATTGACGGTAATATTCTAAAGAGGATTGCATTTATTTCTAATAGCTGATGAATTTTCTACTATCAGCTCTGGATCAAACAGAAATCTCGACTCTAAATTCTTCCAGTTACTTGCATTTTAACACTCAAATTTTTTCAAACCACTATAAAGTCATCTTGGATTCACTATAAAGTCATCTTTAAAGCAATTGTTTTAAATCTGTAACTTTTATATATTAAAAAATTGTAATAACTAAGCAATCTCGTGTCATTTTTGGTCACCATTTTTTTTATTTTTATGGAAAACTTAAGTCTGGAACTCCCTAATTTTTTGCATTATAGATGGGATACAATAGGCTATGGTGTCCAGGGCTTTAAGCAGTCATGTTTGGTATTTGTCAACTTTAACCTTCAAATTCTCTCCGTCTAATAATAATAAAAAATAAAAATAAAATAGCTCTACCAGTTGTAAACGTCAGAGTATGGGATCAGCTTCAGCTCTCTGGTTTAGGTAGAAAACTGTTTTGCAGACTCAAACAACCAGTTCTGTCATGTCATTCTGAGTCTGCAGATTCGACACAAGGAACTGGCTTGTTTGCAACACAGTGGAAATTACTGCAAACCGTTCCTCATTCCGACCATTGATGAAACACAACATTCTCGATGGTGGTGTGGCAGATAACAGACATTATGAGGAAAAAAAGTAAAAAAAATATATATGTGCTACCTCCTGTTGCATGTCAGACAGCAACGATGACCGCTGGTAGCTTTTCATTCCTTCAGGCTGAGAGCTAAATTTAACGGCATGTAGTTTTTGCAAGTTATTGAGCGCAACATTAAATGAAGTGATGCTTTTAATTTAATCTTAAACCGCTTCTTAACCTACAATGCAAATACAAAATTACAGCTAGCACAACTAGCAGCTAACGCTAACAGTAGGACAGATATGATCAAAAGACTTCCTGCGTCCAGTAAAGTGGTAAATCTCGACTTCTCTTGCATAAAATATGTTTTTAGCTTTAATTATGTCTTTTACTACACAGGACTGGCCATATATATAGCCTGACATAATATAAACACACCCACTACTGATATCGACCTGGCGGTCAGTTACATTAAAACCTGGACTCTTCCTGCTCACCCAGTTAGCATGCTATTTAGCCAAAAGAAACTCGGAGTTTTTTTTTTTTTTTACCGTTAAAATCCCCCGTGTCCGCGACCACCACGGTGAGCTTTTTCAGCTGGTTGAGGGCAGTCTCCATCTTTCTGCGTTTGTCTGGTGACCCACTGGACATAATGAGCAGCAGACAGGGACCCTTTTATACGCAGAAAACACGTGAGAGGTAGAAGGAATGTCAGTGAGGAGGGAGCGCGCCGCGCAGGAGGAAGAGGCCAGCGGGAGCGCGCAGGAGGAAACCAACGAACGGAAGCCAGAAAAAAAAGTCAATCACAAATATATATAATTTCAGAATTAAGATTTTTTTTCCCCTCAGAATGCTGACTTTAATCTCAGATTTCGGACGTTTTCCCTCAGAATTCTGACTTTAATCTCAGAATTCCGACTTTTTTCCTCAGAGTTCTGACTTTAATCTCAGAATTCCGACTTTTTTCCTCAAAATTCTGACTTTATAATCTCAGAATTCAGACTTTTTTCCTCAGAATTCTGACTTTAATCTCAGAATTCTGGCTTTTATCTCAGAATTTTAATCTCAACTTTAATCTCAGAATTCAGATTTTTTTCTCCTCAGAATTCTGACTTTAATCTCAGAAGTCTGACTGAATTCTGACAGCTAACAAACATGTTAGCATCATTTACAGTTCAATGGATGATATCTATGTATACTACAAAAATGTTCAGTTTTTTATCAAAGTTTTCCAAATTACCATATGTCACAAATATTTTGCATTTTATCTGGGTTTTATGTTATAGACTTGCACAAATAAAAATATATATTAACTATATAAATAATAAATAGATTGTAAGATATAAGGTAATTATTTTAAAAAGAAAAAATATGACAAGTGTTGCTTGCATGTGTATTCTCAGCCCTTTTCTGTTCCAGCTCGCTTATCTGTGAATATACTGCTCTTTTTCCTATCCATGATTGTTTTTTTTTGTTTTTTTATGTTCCTGTATCTGTATTTTGTATTTTCATCTCTTTTTATTTATTTTTTTGTATTATTTGTAAAGTGACCTTGAGTGTCAAGAAAGGCGCTGTTAAATAAAATGTATTTTCTTTAATTTCCATAAATGGAATGGCCTTCAGAAATAAGGAAATAAGTAAAGTAAGTAATTAAAAATGTATTTGTACAGGGCATTTCAGCTGCAAGGCAATTCGGGGTGCTTTTCATCATAAAAACATCAGAAGAACTGTGGAATGAAATACAAACATCAATTAACATTACAGCAAACCATCAAAACCTCAGAGTCATCACCCCTAATCCTAAAAACCATCAACTCCTGATCATCACAGGTAGATAGATGGTCAATGTCTGATAAGATATTTTGTTTAGAGCAGCTTTTCACCTGGATCTGTTAGGAAAGGCTAATCAAAGGTAGCTCTAAACAGGTGGGTGTTTAGCCTTGATTTAGTGTTTCGGCTGTTTTGCAGCCTGCAGAGTGTTTTTTTCAAGGTTAAAGGTGCATAAAAATCAAAAGCTGCTTGGCATTGGGGAAACAAAGTAGACTGTAACCATAAGACCTGGATGTTCTGGAAGGTTAAAACCAGTTAAACGGCAAATAGAATCCCCGATGGTGTAATCTAATCCCTCTCTTGCATTGTTTTATTATTTTTTTTAAACAGAGACATAACCTTGATGACTCAAAGCTAAACTCTCTGGGCTTGTTTTTTTTAGCAAGCAAAGTTGCTAAACTAACTTGTGTTGAATATTACTGCTATAATCCATTGCCTCATATACAAACTCAAAGTAAAGCTCTAAACTAATGTGTTTCCTTCATTTAGTCTGAATGCTCTGGTGTTTTATAACAACACACTATTTTAAGCAGTAATTTGATATTTCTGCAGCTTAAATCCCTGGTTACTTAAGAAACTTGTCTGAAGTGTAGAATATCCACTTCATAAATGCAAATTCATTGGATTTATCATTTGCATTAGAGAATAAACTGTTCAGCGGATGCCATTGGCTATCATTCTATCCTGGCTTCCAGATTGTGTCTTTTAGTGTGACGAGACAGTCATTTCTGCCAAATTGTTGACTCCTCCAGTAGAGGTTTACACAATGTCAATTTTATTTGCCATAATAGAAGAAAAATTCTATTTCAGAAACTATTACGGAAGTCGACATCACCCTTCCTGCTTTTCAGCAAATGTGATTGTGTTCAAAAGCAACACATTATCTCGTCAGCCTTCAGGCTAAAGCAACACAATGATAGTGTTATGTGCATTTACATCCAATAAGGCTGCTTTCAAAACAGGGCTCTGGATGTATACAGTTATACACAGAAAATTGTAAAAGATCAAATGATGGGTCGAAGCAACTGGTAATGGTTAAAATGAAACATCAATTTACTTGATCCATCAAGATCCTATAGCAATTTTAGGGGTCCAGTTTTCTTGTTTATAATACTCATTAAGAAATCTTGCATAAACGTTGTGTTCAATGTGACACTTTTGCTGTATAAAGGTATGCTTAGAGCATTGAAAAAAGAATAAATAAATGAGAGATTTTACAAAGCAATTGTAGAGCATCAGTAATTGATTGTGATCAGATTTTATTAGTTTTTCTAATAAAGATTAAATTAGATTTGTGTACATTTGGGTGTGTGCAAAAAACAAAACAAAACAAAAAAAACAAAACAGGTTTTGAGATTTCTCTCTCCTAGAGCATAAACCAAACCAAACAAATTATTGTGGACTTTAGGAGGAGCAGGAATAAACAAGACTAAGACAATAGATCCCTATCTCCTGATGTACTTTCCTTTTTATTTTTCCATCTAACTGATTTTTCTTTTTGGTTAAAATTACATGGACAAAGACTGAAGGAAACATGAAAACAGGAGCAATCATTTTAATTGACAAACATGAAGAGTTGTAGAGTTCTAGAAACTCAGTCATCTGGAATTAGCTCATCAATAAAAGGAACAGTAGACAGGGAGAGCAAAAAGTCCTAAAAAATACAGATAAAAATTTGTAAATGAAACTGAACTATAAAAAAAGAGGAATAATTCAAATTAATTCAGTTCAGTTGTATAACACCCATTGGCAACACATGCAGATAATTATATTAAATCAAAGTGACACATTACTGAAATATTTTCTATTTACTAAACCCCAAACAATTTAACCATCTCCTCCTGGATAAACATGTAATGACAGGGTTCCCCTGCAACAGTGGAGGGAAAATTCTCCTTTAAGAGGATGAAACCTCCCGGAGAAGCATGCTGAGTGTGAACCTCCATGTTTGACGACTGACTGGTGGTGTGAGCAGGCAGAGTCCGAAAACACTGGATTAAATCGTTGCACATACACACTAAAGGTGGCTCATTTTTGAGTTTTACTCTTGATAAGTAATTGTTTATCTTTACTGTCACTCCATTGTTGCTTATAATGAGGGATTGCTGTAGTCAGTGACTTGTTTTAATCAGTATACCGTTTTATTACACAATTTAGCTGAATTTCTTGCTGAATTTATTTCACTGAAACTGACTAAATGTTTGTATTATACTTGAATTAATTGAATAGATGTTAACATATGTTGGACTGAATGTTTTTGTAATTGCACATGCTCTTGTTTCATTATGTCACAAGCTGATTTTTGTTGTAACTAGGTCTATTTTTTTCTTTGACTGGATTTCTAATGTTATCTATTGCTAAGGGGAAAGGTAAAAGCTAAACAGCTGAAACCTGTAGTATACTCTAATTCTAGAAAAGGAAATAGGTTTGATCTGGTTCACTGCAGTTGTCAGAAATATTGGCTTGGTTTTGCTCCTCCATCAGCCTGGCTTGGCACTTTTGAAACCAATAATGCAGAAATCCACTGAGGAAGTTCAATCAACCCTACCTTCCCCCTGGGAAGAGGCTTTGCAGAATTTCATGCAGATCCAGCAGATTCTGCAACAGTTTCTTCCCCACTGCCATCAGCTGGACTTCTGAAAAAAAATCTCTAAATCATGTCACAGACTCTGCAAAATACTGATAATACCAAACCAAAAAATACTGCATAGTTGCACCATATGTATTAATGCTCTGATCTTCCATATCCATGCATTTTTTTGCACAATGTTTTTTTTTCTTTTAAATCTCACACTGTTTACATTTGCTGCACTTTATGGAATGGAAATATTAATTTACTGTTTGAAAAGCTGTACTGAACGAAATTTTGTTTTGTGCACACTCTGTGTATACAAAATGACAATAAAAGTTGTCTAAGTCTGGTGTGTGTGGACCAGAAAACAGATCCCAGAAACCGTTCAGCGAATAGAACTGAACATAAAGTAAGAATAAAGGACCCAGAATAATCGTGCTCCACAGCCCTAAGAGATCAAATGAGATTCAAAACAAATTCTCTCTTTCAAAGTCTAACATTTTTATTAACTATTTGTTTTACATTTCCACAGACAATTATTTTGGGAAAAAGATATTTATACAAAAAAAAACAAAAAAACATAAGGAATTCTATAAAACAAAACAAAAAATGTTATTTATAAAGTCTTTAATGTCATCTTAAGCTTAGTAATTATTGTTTAAAATCCAATCCAGGACCTTTTGTTTTAGTTTACAAGTTTTTAAAGTGCAGTCATGTGTTCCATCGAGAACTCTGGCATCAATTCAGAATCCAATAACACTCATGCTAAAACTACTGGCCATCCTAACCCTTCTGTGTTCACCTTGTGGCTGAAATGATCCAACAGCCCCTCTGTGATCATGCAGACTCTGCCATCACCGTCGCTGCATTGTTGGCCTCTAGATGTCCTCGCTTTGCTTCTTTGCTTCTGTCAGTAATTCAAAGTGCACACATCTTGAGAGAGAGAGCAGAGAGGGAGGGAGTGTGTGAAAAGAACCAAGTTGAGAAGTTTTGTCAGTTACTAAGTGAAGAGGAGGGACAGCTTGGAGCGCAGACTGTCAGATAAGTTGGAGGTAAGTCATCCTCACATTTAATCAGCTGTGTGGCAGCTTCTCTGATTTCCTCCTTGATGTAGTAAGCTCTACACAGATGACTGTGATCTGATAAATAATAGGCCTTTGTTGTGTGGTTCTGTTTGATTAAAGGGATGAACTTCATCCTGATTCCATTAATCTCACATGAATCGGTTAATGAATGTTGCACTCCGTTTACTTTAGGGTGAGATTTAATTAATCATACTTAATCTTCCTGCTCAGATGCACACATAAAAATCTGTCCTTAAGCTCTCCAGGGTGTTTCTTT